CTGCTGTTCCGGCTGCTGCTGCTGCTGTTTGTGTTGTGGCTATTCCTGTTGTTGTTACTGCTGCTACTGCTACCGCTGCTGTTCCTTTCACTGCTGTTCCTGCTACGACTGGCTGTTGCTGCTGCTGTTGCTGCTGCTGCTGCTGCTGCTGCTGCTGCTGCTGCAGGCGAGGTGGTGTCTGTGGTGGTTGTAGGGGAGAGTCAAGGAGGAAAATATTTATACTTAGATCGCCACGACGGCCTCATCGACTACTCAGATGTCGACAGGTTTGCTGCTGCTGCTGCTGCTGCTGCTGCTGCTGCTGCTGCTGCTACTGGTGCTGTTGGTGCTGCTGTTGGTGGTGGTGCTGCTGCTAGTGCTGCTCTTGTTGCTTCTGCTGCATTGTCTATATAAACGTATTTACTCCTCTACAGCTGCAGGAGTCAGCTGCTGTAGCAGCAGCAGCAGCAGTAGCAGCAGCAACGGAAGCAGCAGTGGCAACAGCAGCAGCAGCAGCAACAGCAACAGCAGCAACTGCAGCGGCTGTCTTTGTGTGCAGACCTCGGCACCGTTACGCAACTTCAATGAAACTCAGAGAGGTAAACTGCAACCTATTTGCTGCTGCTGCTGCTGCTGCAAAGCTGCTGCTGCTGCTACGTTGCTGCTCCAGCTATGTTAGTCTGGCTGCTGCTGCTGCTCTGCGCACAGGATTTCAGGGCTGACCCTCTGCTGCTAGCTCATCTAGAAGAATAGCTGCTGCTGCTGCTGCTGCTGCTGTGGTCACTGCAGCAGCAGCAGCAGCTGCTGTAGCAGCAGCAAGGTTTTGTTTTTCTGTATATTTTTTTAAATAAACCCTCAAATGCCTTTCAATTGGTGTTTATATAATACTCCAGCAGCAATTGCTGCACACAAAGCAATAAAAAGATTCTTAGCAGCAGCAGCTGCAGCAGCAGCAGCAGCTGCAGTAGCAGCAGCAGCAACTGCAGCAGCAGGGTCTATTAGGCGTGCGAATGGCGATTAATTAAATAACTCACACGCCGCTCGCACTCCTAAACCCTAAACCCTAAACCCTAAACCCTAAACCCCTAGAATCAGCAAAGGGAAGGAAGCCTTCCTTTGCTGTTCTTGCTGCTGCTTCTACTGCTGCTGCTGTTGCAGCTGCTGCTGTTGCAGCTGCTGCTGTTGCTGTTGCTGCTGGAGATATAACAGAAGAGACAGAATAAGAGAGACAGAAGAAGCGAGTTAAAAGAAACGAAATAAATAAATAAAGATAAAAGATAAAAGATAAAAGATAAAATATAGCGGGCCTATCATTAAAAACAATAACACAGACTGGCACGCAAATAACATATATCTAAACAAACAAAGGAAACAAAGACTTAAAACTCTGCTGCTGCTGCTGCTGCTGCACCTCCTGCTGCTGCTCCTGCTGCTGCTGCGGCTCCTCCGGCTGATACTACTACAGCCTCCTCCTGCAGCTGCAGCTATTGCTGCTGCTGGCAGCTGCTGCTGCAACATCTGTTACTGCTATTTATGCAGCCGTCGCTGGTGCTGATGGAGGTGTTGCTTCTGCTCCGCTTGCTGCTGCTGCTGCTGCTGCTGCTGCAGCTGCTGCAGCAGCAGCTGCTGCTGCAGCAGGTGAAGGGTGAGAACAATTATTCATACTTCCTGAACTGCCTGTACACTTCTTTAGCCCCCTGCATTCTGTAGTTATCGACTATAAACCCTGCAAAGGCGAAGCAGCCGAGCAGCCCCAGACAATAACAAACAAAAGCAGCAGCTCCACCCATCTCTCCTTTCGTTTTGCTGCTGTTTTGCTGCTCTTTTGTTTCTCTTCTGGGGTCTGTCTGCAGCAGCAGCAGCAGCAGCAGCAAACAGAAGCTCTCCGATGCTCGCTCCTGCTTCTCGTGCTGCGCCTTGCTGGATATAAAGAGATATATAAACCCCCTCAAGACTGCTGCTGAGAGTACGAACCTGAAGCAACAGCAGCAGCAAGAGTAGCAGCAGCAATAGCACACAGACACACTCAGTTGAACGCAACAACAACACACTCTAAATCCTAAACCCTAAACCCTAAACCCTAGGGGGTCAGAACCCCCCGGGTCTCCGCCATCGGCAGCGGAAGGGTTTTGCATAAAAATACAGAGAAATATATTGTGTGTTCAGCGATATGAAGTTCAGGGGGTAAATATTAAAATAAATAACGTTAATTTTAGCCTGATCTCTATTGATCAGGGTTTAGGGTTTAGGGTTTAGGGTTTAGGGTTTAGGGTTTTGCAGCTCACCGATGAGGTACAGCGAGACAAGAGAGCCGAAGAAAGTAAGAAAGAACGCCCCCCAGTCAATCATTGTGTAGAAAATAAGAAAGAAAGATATATTTAATCAAGAAATATTAATTTCTGCGTTTATTTTGTTGTGTTTCCCTCTCTTTACTCCGCCCACCCCAGCCGCATCATTCAGCTGCCTATACACCTGAAGTGCAGCAGGAAGCTGTTGTTGTTTGTTGTGTAAATTTCTCGTTTTTTCTTTGTGTAATTATAATTAATTAAATACATTAAATTTATTTTCCAGTTATTTATTCAAAATACAACAAAGAACCGCAATATTTCCCACAAACAAAACACAGAAATGCAACCCGCAGCTGAGGTGTATAGGCAGCTGTTTTCTCTCGCGATGCTCTGTTGGGTTTTGTTTATTTATTATTTTGAATTAATTTCTGTTTTTTTATTCTTAATCCGTGCAAACTAAAGATATAAATAAAAATTTAATAGGCAAAGATGTGTTTGTAAAATTTCAGATTATATATACAAATCGAGGAGGCAAGCACGAGCTATATATATAATTACAAATTAAAATAAAACGAGCATTAAATGTCTAAGCATGAATTAAATATATTAACACAAATTAAATATATATACACAAAATAGTGAATATGTAAATACAAGATCAAATATGTCGATATAAACAGATATATATATAATATATATATATATATATGTATGTATTATACAGAATAAATATACAAATATAAATTTGTAACAAATATAAAAATAATAATATAATGAAATAATTATAATATAATTAAGCTGGAAGATATAATAAAGTATAGTCTATTATAATAATAAACGGTATAATAATATGATAATATAATAAAATTATTATAATATAATTATTAGTATTGACCTACTGTAGTTTATAATAATATAATCAAATAATAATAATGTAATTAAGCTGTAAGAACAAAACTAAGTTATAATAATATTAAGTTGTAGTAAAAAAAGAAAGTAGATAAAATAATTAATACAAAATAATTAAACAGAGTTGCAGCAATACAATAAAATAATTAAATAAAGATAATAACAACTAAATAATAATATAATTAAATAATAACAGTATAGTTAAACAATAATACTAGCATAATTAGATAATATTAATAATATAATTTAATAATAATAATAATCTAATTAAATGATAATAATATAATTAAAAACAATAGTATAACTAAAAAGATTATTACAATTGAATAATAAATAAATAAATAAATAAATAATAAAATTAAATTATATTAATAAAATTCTTTTGTAATAATATAAAACAGCTGCAACACCAAAAATGAGCTGCCAATACACCTGAAAACAAAAACCTGAGCGAGCAGCAGCATCAGTATGCTGCAGCAGCAAACTGCTGCGGATACCCACAAGGTGTGCTGTACGTACACCTCAACACGCAGTGCAGCCCAAGCAGCAACAGCCAACCCTAAACCGTAAACCCTAAACCCTAAACCCTAAGCCCTAAACCCTTAAATTTCTTCGTTGCAGAAAGCTGCAGTTGCTGCCTGCAGTTCATCGCATGCACAGTTGAGGCCTCCAGGAGCTTGGGGTGTACTTGCACCTCAGCTGCTGCTGCTGCTGCTGCTGCTGTTGCTGTTGCTGTTGCTGTTGCTGCTGCTGTTGTTGCTGCTGCTGTTGCTGCAGTTGTTATTGTTTTGATTGTTGCTGCTGCTGCAGTTGCTGCGCCTGCTGCTGTTGTTGCTGCTGCTGCTGCTGCAGAGGGGTTGAATTTCAGGTGTATAGGCAGCTCTTCACGGCACATAGCGAGCGAGAATCTGAGTAAAAAAAATAAAAAGTATATTCACTTCTGTGTCTCTGTCTCTATTTATATTTATCTGTCTGTCTCTTTATCTAATCACTGTCTCTATTTATTTATTTATTTATTTATTTATTTATTTATCTCTATTTACTTCTGCTGCATTTGCTTGTGGTAATTAAACAAACAAAACAAAATAAACAGAGAAAATTAATCAAACAAATAAATAAATAAACAAATAACTAAATAAACAAACAAACAAATAAATGAATAAATAAACTGCTGCTGCTGCTGCTGCTGCTGCTGCAGCTGCAGTCTCTGGGGTGTATATGGAGGTGGTGTTCACCTGTTGCAGCTTCTTTTTTGCGTTATTGTGTTTGATTTTATTTTTAATTTTTATATCTTCTTTGTCTTCCTCTGATGCCTCTGAATCCCAAGCAATGTCTGCTGCTGCTGCTAACTTTCGCAGCATGCCGTTTGTTCTCTTCTGCTTCTCCTCCTGCACAAACCCTAAACCCTAAACCCTAAACCCTAAACCCTAGACCCAAAAACCCTAAACCCTAGACGCTAAACCCTTACAATCCAGGCGAATGCCTTGAGCCCAGAGACATCCCTAGGAAATCACCCCCCCAACCCTAAACCCTAAACCCTAAACCTTAAACCCTAAACCTTAAACCCTAAACCCTAAACCCTAGGCTTAGGGTTTAGAGCTTGAATTGTTGTGTATGTCGTCCCTATTTACACTTCATGCATGCATACCAAAATGAGTGTAGTTTAGGGTTTAGGGTTTTAGGGTTTAGGGTTTTAGGGTTTAGGGTTAGGGTTTAGGGTTTTGAGGTGTACCTGATGCTGTTCTTGCTCTACTTTGTTTGCAAGCTCAAACAAACCCCTAACTTCGTTTATTTTATCTTGTAATAAACCTATATCTTCAAACCCTAAAGGAGAAGGTGTCAAAAAAATATTAATGTTGCTGCTCTCTAGCAGTCTCCGCCAGCTGTCTAACTCGCTGCTAGAAACAAAACAAATCGCCTCTCCTGCACATACACCCCAAACCCTAAACCCTAAACCCTAAACCCTAAACCCTAGATGTGGTCAGTTAAAATGGACTTCAAGTCGGAGAAAACTCGCAGGCGTCGAAAGCGATGCATCTTCAAATAAATAGGGTTTAGGGTTTAGGGTTTAAACGAGGGTTTAGGGTTTAGCATTGTGATTTGCACAAGACTGTTGAGTTTCTAGTGTTTAGGGTTTAGGGTTTAGGGTTTAGGGTTTATGCTTCAGTTTTGCATATGTTCTCTTCCGTTAAGAACAGCCGTCAGGCTGTTGCTTTTGCCCCAAGGGTTTAGGGTTTAGGGTTTAGGGTTTAGGGTTTACCGTGTCTGCCTGCGCGTGCTGTTCTGCCGCATCTATGAATGAAGGTCTCCAGATCTCTTGGTCTCTGAAAATTAATTATTTTCTCGACTTCTTTAAAATCTAAACCCCTTGCACTCATATCGGTGCTTACTAATAAACCGTACTTGCTGCTGCTGAACCTGCAGCAGCAGCAACAGCAGCAGCAGCAGCAGCAGGTGTAGCAGTAGCAGCAGGTGTAGCAGTAGTAGCAGGTGCAGCAGAATGTGCAGCAGCAACAGCAATGAAGGGGGGCCTGGAAACGCTTTCAAACCACCGTCAGCAGCAACAGCAGCAACAGCAACAGCAGCAACAGCAACAGCAGCAGCAGCAGCAACAGCAGCAGCAGCAACTGCAGCAGCAGCTGTAGCACCAGCAGCAGCAACTGCAGCAGCAGCAACAGCAGCAGCAGCAACAGCAGGAGTTACTTATCGAGTCTTTTGAGTCTCTGTTTTTGCTGCAGATTCGAATGAAGCCCACAGACAGCAATTTGCTGTTTATGCCGCAGCCGCAGCTGCTCTCCCAGCAGCAACCTGCAGCAGCAGCAGCAGCAGCAGCAACATTAACAGCAGTAGCAGCAGCAGCGAATACATGCTGCACAAGACGGAGAACAGGCTAGGGTTTAGGATGAGGGTTCCGAAGTAGGGTTTAGGGTTTAGGGTTTAGGGTTTACGAGAGCAGAGCCTCCAGTCTATAGACATAAGAAATTGCATTAACAAACAGCAGCACGCGCAGCTGCTGCTGCTCCTCGGCCTTCTTATCAAATGTACGCAGCAAATAAGCAACAAGCTGCACCTCCTGCAGCAGCAGCAGCAGCAGCAGCAGCAGCAACAGCAGCAGCAGCAGCAGCAACAGCGGCAGCATGCAGAAATATATGTTTCCTAGTTGCTGCTACACTGGGGCTCTGTTCATGGTGCCGCAGCAGCTACTGCTTCTCTTATCCTGCTGCTGCTTCTGCTGCTTCTGCTGCTGCTGCTGCTGCTGTTGGTGTTGCTGCTGCTGCTGTTGCTGCTGCTGCTCTTGCTGCTGCTGCTGTTGCTGCTGCTGCTGCTTACCATATCTGTTTCTAGAGGGCATTTCCATACGCTGAGGCGAAGGGTGGCGGGTAGTTTGCTGCAGACCTGCTGCTGCTCTTGCTCTCCCTGCTGCTGCTGCTGCTGCTGCTGCTGCTGCTGCTGCTGCTGCCAGACGTGCTGCTGCTGCTCCTCATCCGAAATGCGCACAGCAACCAATTGCTTCGGTCGTATTCTCACGTGCTGCAGCAGCGCAGCAGCATCAGCTGACTCTTCGTCTCCCCCTTCCCTCCCGCTGCTGCTGCTGCTGCTGCTGCTGCTGCTGCTGCTGCTGCTGCTAAGCTGCAGCCCTTGATGCTTCCGCTGCAGCGAGAAGCTGAGCGTTGCCGATAAAACAAATGTCTGCAGCTTTGCTGCACGCCCCCTAAGCTGGCTGGGTACGACTTGCTGCTGCTTCTGCTGCTTCTTCCGCTTGCTGCTGCTGCTGCTGCTGCTGCTGCTGTTTGCTGCAGGTGAGGCAGCATCGAGCTGCGCATATACAATCTTCAGCAGCAGCTCCGTCTCTGTTGGTGGAGTTGTTATTTTGTGCTTCTTCGAGTGTTTTTTATTCTTCTTGCTGCGGTGTCTGCGTTGCTGCTGCTGCTGCTGCTGCAGCAGCAGCCTATCTGCTTCATCTAAGACAAGGAACTGCAGCAAAGAGAAATTTTGTGCGAAGCAGAGGCCCTCTGCAGCAATTCGATCTCTTCGTGTTTGCTGCTGCTGCTGCTGCTGCTGCTGCTGCTGCTGTTGCTCTCCTCGCCCCTCTGCCGTTGCCGCTACCGCAGCAGCAGCAGACGCTGCTGCTGCTGCTGCTGCTGTTTCAGGCTGCTGCTGCCGCTGCAGCGCCAACAGACGCCCGGGGGTTGCAATCAATATTGAAGGTTTGCTGCTGCTAATAATGCGGAGCTGCTTCGCAGAAGAGAGGCCCCCTACAACTGCTGCAGCACGTACTGGGGTGTACGTACACAGCTGCTGCACCACCTGCAACACCTGCAGCAGCAGCAGCAGCAGCAGCAGCAGCAACAGCAGCAGGAACAGATATAAAATAGAAGCAAACATATATATAACTAACTAAATAAATACTGTCGAAGATAGATATATAAACTAACGCAGTAGCAAGCATATGAAACAAGCAAACCCTAAACCCTAAACCCTAAACCCTTGACTCTGACCTGCAGGGCTAATTCTCTGGTGGGTTCTAAGATAAGTGCTGCAGGTCCTTTAGGCTGTGTTTGCTGCAGCAAAAATTGCTGCCTTTGCTTCTCCATATGCTCTTCTTCTTCTTCTTCTTTCCCGTGCTGCTGCTGCTGCTGCTGCTGCTGCTGCTGCTGCTGCTGCTGCTGCTTCTCTGACCACTTCTCGAGGCGTCTAGCTAGCTGGCTAGCTAAGCAGCTAGCTATAGGAAGAGCAAAGATAAGGGTTTTGCCTGAGCCTGTCTGAGCAGAAGCAACTACATCTTTTCTGTCTCTAACTGCATGCAGCAGCGTTTGCTGCTGCACCGGTGTTGGGTGCAGCAGCTGCTGCTGCAGCAGCACACGAGAAACTGCAGGGTGCAGCAAACATATATCTCCATTTAGGCAGCAACCCCACCCCTGTAAACCCTCAGATAACTCTCCTACTAATTCATAGCTGTCGTATAAACAATCAAATGCTGCTGCTGCTGCTGCTGCTGCTGTTGATGCTTTTGATGCTCCTGCTGCTCCTCCTCCTGCTTCTCTTGCTGCTGCTGTTTCTGTGGACGCAGCTGCAACCAGTTCGTACGTTGCATCCTCTCCCTCTTTGCTGCTGCTGCTGCTGCTGTTGCTGCTGTTGCTGCTGGGAGTTGTTGCTGCTTCATCTGTCTGCTGCTGCTGCTGCTGCTGCTGCTTGTGTATTTTTCTTTTCTTTCGTTTTGCCTCCGCCTTTGTTGCTGTCTGCGTGGAGGGCTCATCCTTCTGCTGCTGCTGCTGCTGCTGTTGCTGCTGCTGCTGCTGCTTTTGTTTTCTTTTCTTGTTGTTTATCTTTTGCTGCTTTGCTGGTGCATCTTCATCTAAGACAAATTCTTCTAAACCTAAAACCCCCTCAGCAGCAAACCCTGAGGGCAGATCAACACTACGCCAGTGCCCTTTCATTAGCCTTCTAAACCCTAAACCCTAAACCCTAAACCCTAAACCCTACTGGGGCCCTGAACCGTACAGTAAGACCCGGCGATGCTGCTATCAAACCCTAAACCCTAAACCCTAAACCCTACCCTCAAGCAGGTAAACCCTAAACCCTAAATTGAAGAATCTAAACCCTAGAAGAAGTGAGAAGAATGATGAAATCGAAACCCCTAAAGCCGCCCCACACAGAGATCTAGGGTTTAGGGTTTAGGGTTTGGGGTTTAGGGTTTAGGGTTTACAAAGGCATAAAGAGACTTTAGCCGCGAAATAAAAACAAAAAAGAATTATAAATAAATTAAAAAATTAATTTATTTAATCTAAAAAAAGAAAAAGTCTAACATCTGCAAAAACCATGAGGGCCCCCATGCGCCCGACTAAACCCTAAACCCTAAACCCTAAACCCTAAACCCTAAACCCTAAACCCTAAACCCTAAACCCTTAAAATTGTGAAACCTAAGGCTTAAACTTTTTAATTTTAAATTTCTATTTTTTGTTTTTCTTTTCATGAAGGAGGGAGAGGGAGGGCAGGTTAGGGCCCCTGCAACACCCAAACCCTAAACCCTAAACCCTAAACCCTAAACCCTAAACCCTAAACCCTAAACCCTAAACCCTAAAGCCTACGGTGTAAACCCTCTAGATAAAACCCTTAACCACTTTAATTCGAGACCACATCCTGCAAACCCTAGACCCTATCTTTAGGGCGAAGGAGCCTCTGTCAACGATGAACCCTAAACCCTAAACCCTAAACCCTAAACCCTAAACCCTCAGGAGAATGGAGCCGAGCCCTTCTGCTGTTCGAACTTCTGCTGCTTTATGCCGTCTATTAGAGGGTGTTGATCTGCAGCTGCATTTATTAACAGAAGAAGTGCTGCCCCCCCTTAAAGAAACTAACTCAGCAGCAGCAGCAGCAGCAGCAGCAGCAGAAACCCCAGCAGCAGCAGCAGCAGCAGCAGAAGCAGAAGCAGCAGCAGAAGCAGAAGCAGGAGAGAAGCAGGGAGAAGGGTTTAGCGAGCGTCTGTGGGGTTTGATGTTGAGGTGTACAGACAGCTGCTCATCGCTGAGTACTTCTATGCATGCAGATATAGATAAACAAAAAATAAATAAAACAACAACAATAGACAGCAGCAGCATCTGCAGCAAGCTTCGTTATCTCAATCTAAAGGCTCTGTCTACTCATCTGCACCAACTGCAGCAAATTAAAATGCAGCTCTTTAACGAGCATTAAACCCTACTTTTTTCTTCAATAAAACCCTCTTTATGCGCTTCTAAAGGCTTAGGGTTTAGGGTTTAGGGTTTAGGGTTTAGGGTTTAGGGTTTAGGGTTTTAAGCGTTTAGGGTTTAGGGTTTTAAGCGTTT